TTTAATCTGATATTACATGTACTGTATATCAAATAAAGGACCCTGGAGCAATGATGTAGAAACAGTGGGAATATAAGGGAGAAATATTATTCATTACGAATATGTACTGGGCTGTCAGATTGTCAGAGCAGACAGATATGGCAGACAGAGTGGTAACAGTAAAGGAGGAAATGTTACACTTCCAATAGTAAGCATTACACAGAGAAAGAGCAACTTTATACTTTGCTACTATATGTTTTGTACTGCACCAATATAACATAAGAGGATTTCATTTGAAAGGAGTTTATTTTAAATTCTGTTAATTTTTTCAAAATGACCAAATCCACAAATTCAAAAGAGAACAATCTTGTTTGTTTAAAATACATATAGGATTACTTTGAGGTTAATATCACAAAATGCAACTGGCCAACCGGTTACGCTCATGTATTCTCAATTTAAGGAGGGTTGCTGGCTAAACGTAAGGAGCTGGCTAAACGTAAGGAGACATCGATTGCAACTACAAGGCTTCTTTTGAAGTTAAGCCATAATGGTACAATCACAGATCTGCAAGTTAGTGAAGGCATTTGCGTTAGTGTACCCGCATAGTCTCACGCAGGCTTTTCCTCTTAATGTGAAGGACGCATCAAAGGCTTAACACTCGTATTGTTTTCTCACTTACAACTTATGGATCAGTAAAGAATTATCACACAATTCTGTGTTACACCTTTTAGTCAACTTGTTTCCAACCCAAAATTACTAGTGTTATACAATTACAATTTTATTTTTCAAATGTATGGTAAAATAACCATTATATGAATGAAATTAGGCCTCAGTTTTTCGTAATAACTGCAGGATAATTTTGACTGTAAGTAGTAAGGATCAGAGACATATCTGATTATGCGTGTAAGACACTGGGCCGTTTTTTCCCCTTCCAGTCCCAGGACTAAACACGTGCTCTAAAATTGCAGCTTCTCATGTGAGTTTAATGAAGGGAAAAGTTGTTTTAAAACTCAGAAGTCAAAAACCCTGTTGTTGCTCCCAGTGGAGCTGCTCTGTAACTGGGATTTCTGTTTGTCTATGTTATTCCGGGCATGCTGAAGTCAGATATTAAACCTAGCCAGTTTCACTTGGGTAACGTAAAGATATTGTTGGCAAAGGAATTCAACTTGACATCATTATTGTTGTGATCTCTCTGTCATTGAAGTAAAACAATTGCGAAAGTATACATTCTTTCTTCCCTATGCTGTATATTCCTGCTCTCCACCTCACAAATGAGCAAAATATTTTACATCCTTGAACTAGTGTAATACTTTGGAGACAGGAAATTTGCTTTATAATCTGTGGTGTTACTAAACTGGACAATTTCCATTCTGTCCCCAGTTTCTTCCCCTTTTTCTATCGATACATAAACTAGATTTTACTGATTCTTTTTAATGTAAATAAACTGTCAAGACTTTTAACCGATGGGATTTAGTCAGAACGTGATTGCTTGATATGCATCTTTTTCTAAAAACTATTCAATGTACGGCTTTACATAAAATCTTTCTAGATAAAAGATTGTACATTTTATGTACATATACTTTTTACAATGTCATATAATCATAAAAATTTTGGTTTAAAGTGCTAAACCTTTTTTTCAAAGCTCACTGACTATTAAATATAAGTACATCTTTAAAATGTAGTTTACGAGGGAGATGTGTGTTTTTGCTGGCGTTTGATCATGACCATGTTTGACATGTCCAAACTTGTGGAAGAGGAGATTTCTTTTGGTTAAACAATTTGGGAGTTGAATGTTTTTTTTCAGAAAGCACTAAAACTGCTGCACATTACTTGGATTTCTCTCTGTTACTGACTGACTAGCAAAAAGGTATCTTATGAAATTAGTCTCAGTTTATATCCTTCAGCACATTTTGTACATATGACGGTGATAATATTCAATTTCTGCATTCGCTGTAAATGTGAGTTCTCTTTCCCAGCAGTGGATATTGTTACTTAAACAGGGGAGGAAAGAAAGAGTATTTTGTAATGAGCTGTTTTCATTGAGATAATTACTCAGAATGTCATACAATGTTACATTCATCATGGCTGATTTCAGTCTCTAATCCCTCCAATCCGCCATGGATTCCAGCTGCTCTACAGTGATTTTAGGAGTATGGGTCTTTGTAATTACACTCCTTTTGAGGTCGTTGGTGCTGTTTCATGCAACTATTTGCGTTGCGCTCTACCATTGTAGTGCATTGTATCTTTCTGTCTTTCTACAAATTGCACAGCATATTTGTTCAGTTGATAAGTGTTACCGCTAATGGTGATGGATGTGAGGGAGACTGTGAGAAATGTTGTCTCCATCACCAATGCTGCTTGCAGTCCTCCCTTGTCTACTTCCGTTTTAGAAAACACCCCCATCCCCATCTTTAATCATAATAAAATAGAGTTCTTCATTTGTTTGATTAAGAAGTCATTACAGGCTCATTTTTAGTGAAGCTCATGACTGTTTTTAAAGCCTAGTGATGTTAAAGAGAAGGTAATCTGACTTAACTCTGAGTGGTTCCGGTTTCAGCTATTATACTATTGCTGTTGACATCAGTGATTTGAGCTATTTTAGTGTAAAAGAGGGGCTTAATACTCGTTTACATTACAGTAAAAAAACACACATTATGATATGAAAGATCAAAACAATGAGCCACATTTCACGTCTTTTTCCTTTTTGTGTCGGCTTTAAACCAATAAAACCAGAATCAGGATCTTTTAAAACATTTTTTTACAAGCTTTAAACAACCTAGCTTTTGTTTGGATGAGAAGCTCTAGGATAAGTGGAATGATGAAACAACACAGAGGACAGGACTTGTCAGTCACGGTGTGTGTCCGAGTGTTTCTGTTTTTGTATGTGTGCATACGAGTGATTCAGAAGAAGAGTGAGTCTGTCCGAGATAAGAAGATATTGGGTTTCCTCAATTTATTATTCTCACTCAGTAGGTGTTTGCCTTTCCCTGCCTGGCCTCCAATCTACAAGCCTGCTTCTTTGATGTCAGCATGAGCTTGCCAGCAACCTACAGAGGAAAAACAACAATAATAAAGCGTGTTTATCCAGCAATCGTTTGCATGCTCCCAGTAATTTGATGAAACATTGTCAAATGAACCAGTATAAAAATGTTTTGATGTCAAAGATTAGGCAATTGAAAGCAAGCCATCTTGTGGGCCGTTAATTTCTTCTGACATTTTTTCTTTCGGAAGTAAACTGAAATTTTAATTGATTTTTTTTTTGTGATGGGTAATTGTACATTGCATTATAAAAACAAAGCACCAATAAGTCTATATGCAATCTAACACAAGCTAAAAAATGTTTGTATTTTCAAAATTTCACACTACAGTCTTCACATACTAATATCAGTGAGAGATTAGTTTTGTTGGTTTCCAGTGCCTGAATTACAGATAGTTTGTTTACACAAGGAAAAGTGTTGAGTATCTGCTGTGTTGCTGTTTGTAATAGCGGGAGGTGCTGGTGGGGTTCAGCTAATGTGTTGAACATCTCATTTGGGTTGACCCTTTAGACAGGCTCAACACTGCCTCCTGAACCCCGACTGAGTCAGATGTCTGTAAGGGGACAGAGGTCATGTCTGGTTTTCCTGTGCCAGACAACGCCTACGAAGGTGCCCACTTAGCCTCTGAGTAGGGGGTCCCCCTTGCTTGTTACTCAGTTTCCTTTGTCTTTCCAGTGGTATCATAATCTCCAGCCCTTTCTGAGTCCATGTATCTCTCTGATTCCCATGGCCTCGCTGTCTCACTTTCTCTTTCTGTTATTTTTTCCACTTATCTCATTCTTTGTTATATCTCGTTTCCTTCTTAACTACTGTCATATTTGGTCAACAACTAAGACAACATGCCTGTAGGGCGAACCCCCCCCCCTTCCCCCCCCACCCCTCCACCACCACACACACACACACACACATTCCCTTTTTCCTACTTGTGGCTCCCTCTTTCTCTTTTTGTCCATCCCTCATTCCATGTCCCGTGTCCTGCCGTGGCGTTGGGGGGATCAGTTTACCCCACAGCAGCTGAGGCAGGCTTCATTTGTCTCAGGGCTTCCCGCTGAAAAGGCATTTTTCACCTCTGGAGATTTGCTCACTGCCCACAGTAACATTGAGCGCTTAATTGCAGTACTTCCAAATTTGGCTTTCTTGTTCTTTAGTGGCAGTTCAAGCTTTTGAACAGAGTGTACTCTTGGCTTGCTTTGTAATGCATTCCTTTAGGTATAGATATGAGAGTCTGCAGGGAAAGGAAACTGTTTCTAATTCTAATGTACTTGTGCAGTGCATTGTAGTGTAAACTAAGTACAACATGGGATGTCTCACTATAAACTACCTTTGTAATGTTATGTTTTGAATAGTAAAGATGCAAATTTGAATGAATGAAATATTTTCCACTGATATGTGATTAATGACTTTTGTTACGTAAACATAAAGAGATAAAAGCATTCATTACAATTACCTATTTGTTCACCTAATAAATATGTGTTGATTATTAGTGTTTTTGCAAAGTATAATAAGCATGACTTACTGGAAAAAGGTGGATTTGGATTTTCAGGTTTTCATTTAAGTTTTTTTAATGAATTGCATGTCTAGGGAGTACCCATGTATATTGGGTTTTGACACCTACTTTGTTTATTTTAGTCAGTATTAAGGGGCAGCTCCTGAGATCCTTAAATGCTAAACACATGTGATATCCCCTTTCTGTGTCAGATTGCCCCACCAACCTTACCTCCCAGTAGGACTTTGAAAAGGTTAAAGTGTTGTAGTTTCCCCTAATTAATACTCTGCTGAGTTTTTAACTCACTCAACTGTTCACAATTTTTACCAATGTCTCAACACTGAGAATGACTGCAGGATTTTCCAACATTGTGTCTGCTACAGGATATGAATCCCACTTTGAAATACTTGTGTTGGAGTTTGCTTTCCCATTGTTTGTAAAAAAGAAACTATTCTAATTGAACTTTTGTCTATGTGATTTAATGTAATTTTTTGAAGGATGACCATGACAGCGGCTCCAGCTCCACCAGTCGCAGTGTCTCAGACAGCTCCAAAGCGTTGGCCAAGCCCCGGCGCATCCAACAGGCAGCCCCAACTGACCCAGACCTTCCCCCAGGTGAGTGATGGCTCTGGATCTATCTGCCTGACCTCCCCCACAGGCACACACTGCCGAAAGTTATTTACAGTATTTGAAAGTTTTTTTTGTAGCCCACTACCTCAGTGTTAGTGTCAGGTACACTTTCATTTAACGGCTGTTTACTAAAAAGAAAAAAAAACTCAGTAGCAACTGAACTGTTTAACACTGGTGTAAATAAGTCAGAGGCAGAATGGGGGATGCTTCTGTCATCAGTCACTAAGTGACGGCTCTTATCAAGCCCACTTAACTGCAGACCTCCTCCAGGGCCATGTATTCCATGCTCCCCTAACTGCAACACCTAAGTGCACCTAACAGAGATGGCCTGCCTTGACTTTTGAATGTATAGTAGCTTTTGTTAATTATTTGCAACAATTGTGAAGGAGTGTTTTCTTATTTTGTTTAATTAATAATAAGATCATGGGTTATAAAGTCAGAGTAATAGAATGTAATAGTAATACTAAGGAATGGAAACAGTAAAAGGTTTTGAAGTTACCAACTAAAAACAGTTGTCACAAAGAAGGTGGAAAATATAGGACTTGATCATAACAAGGAAGAGTTGAATATTGTAAGAAAATAAATAAAAATGAAGAGAATGACACCAGAAAACTGGGAGCCTGAAGGTGTAATAGATAAGTTGGCGTACCATCCAAAGGTTCACTCCCAGAGCCCCAGTATGCTTAAATATATGAACTTACACTCCTGGCTAGTTGTATCTGGGGAGGATCCATTTCCCAGCCTGATGTTATGAGATAATATCTCTCCCCAGCTGTTAAAGCAGGGTGCCCCACACCCTAGCATCTCCCTTTGGGTCAGCCTCCAACAGATCTCCCTGATGTGTGTGTGAATATGTGTCTTTGTATGACTGTGTTTTCAGGGCTTTTTTGTTCATTTGCTTGCGGACTCGACATAGTTCCACTAGTGGTGCTTGTTTCAACCCATTACAGGCTATACAGACAACTCAGGGGTCAGAGGTTGGAGTAGCTCAATAATGGCGAGGAAGTAGATGAGTGGTGTAACCCCAGCCTTCCTAATTAAAAGGGAGAGGTTAAAAGGTAGATGAGGTAAAACTAATCTGCTATGACTCAGACAGAGGATATTTTCATAAGAATAAGATACAAGCCAAACCTGTCGGGGATCTTTTAATGTGTTAAAAGGATGCTTTTATAAAGTGTGGACACATCACATCAGTCCACACAAATAATATTTGTGGACTTCTTATATTTACCTCGTAACAATACAAATTTAGCTGTACTGTGACATTTAATAACTTAAACATGCTTTCAGTGAATTGCTTGAAAGGGATCTACATAACGTGTTCGAATAACTGAGAAACACAAGTTTAAAAGCATTTTATGATAGATTTTGCACAGTGTCAAAACTGGCTTTATTTTGCCTTAATGTTTTTTATATTTTAACTGTTTTTTGGGATTAGAAAAAAGCAGTCAGAAGTACAGACATTTCTACCAAAACAGATTCACTTAGAAACTACTGATGTAAATATTTCTGTTATATAGATCTTATGTGATATTTTGGTATAATTTAGAGTTGTGACAAATTCGATTTTTTCTCTTTGCATTTATTTTGGGGAATATTAGGTTTTAAAACTGTCTCTCCAAAACATCCCTCAAAATATCCCTCAGAGAGATGCATAATATCTCTGAGGGATATTTTGAGGGAAAACTACTGTTCTGCTTCTTGATCACCACTCTTCAAAACAAACAAATAAAAATCATGCCATTTTTGGTGTTTGCATGCGAACACCAAAAAGTGGCCTCTTAGACCTATCCATTCATTTGGCCCAGAGCTCTCACATGCTGAATGCATTTGTCGTTCTTGTTCTTGTGGTGGAAAATGGTGATGGTAATTCATATGCCATGTAGCCACACAGAGACCAAAGACCAAGTGCTGCTACCTTGGGCAAATCTGTGAATGATTATGTTTACTGCTTCTTGTGGGGGACCATTGGTCACTGTTTGTGAGAATTGTAGGTGTCTGTTCCAAGGGATTCCTGCATTGAGCCTACACACAGTAGAAAATGTGTTTTGTTTTATGCTATTTCAAGTGAAATTAGTTGTTGCAACTTTCCACTGGATTTTTTACTTAGTGTTTAGTATGGTATCAGTGAGTTGGGTGGATCAGAAGATAATTATCATTTGTTTATTTCAAAGCTAAAAAATATAGATTTCAAAATGTTTTTTTTCTTTTTGTTTTTCTTCTTTGATTTAGTTTCTAGACAGTATGGTAGTATCTGAAGAAAAGGAGGCATTCATAGCACATAAATACTGTACAAACACATATAACATAATGTTGTTTTGACTGAACTTGGATTTTATAGGTAAGCTTGGTAGCCGTACTAAGGGGTAGCAATATTTTTATGCAGTCTGTATTGTAATTTATTTCGAACCTTGTCAGCTCATTCAATGGTCTGAATTCAAAATGGGATGATTAAACTTTTTCAACATCTTTTTGTCAAATAATGCTATTAAATATCAGTTTTTTCTTCTTAAGAGCTTAGCACAAACCATTGCATAGAAATGTTCAACATGTTATTTGATATTTGAAAAAACCCTTTCAGTTGGAATGAAATGCAGATATCAGTATAGATATAGATGACACTCTATGCTACAATGAGAAGAAAAGATAATTCTGATAAACATTATGACCTTTGACCTGTTGAGTTTATGATATATTGTGTATGTACAGCTCTAAAGGCTGAATATCTATGATTTCTACATACACTATATTGCCAAAAGTATTTGCTCACCTGCCTTGACTCACATATGAGCTTAAGTGACATCCCGTTCCTAATCCATAGGGTTCAATATGACGTCGGTCCACCCTTTGCAGCTAGAACAGCTTCAACTCTTCTGGGAAGGCTGTCCACAAGGTTTAGGAGTGTGTTTATGGGAATTTTTGACCATTCTTCCAGAAGCGCATTTGTGAGGTCGCACACTGATGTTGGACGAGAAGGCCTGGCTCTCAGTCTCCGCTCTAATTCATCCCAAAGGTGTTCTATCGGGTTGAGGTCAGGACTCTGTGCAGGCCAGTCAAGTTCATCCACACCAGACTCTGTCATCCATGTCTTTATGGACCTTGCTTTGTGCACTGGTGCACAGTCATGTTGGAAGAGGAAGGGGCCAGCTCCAAACTGTTCCCACAAAGTTGGGAGCATGGAATTGTCCAAAATGTCTTGGTATGCTGAAGCATTCAGAGTTCCTTTCACTGGAACTAAGGGGCCAAGCCCAGCTCCTGAAAAACAACCCCACACCATAATCCCCCCTCCACCAAACTTTACACTTGGCACAATGCAGTCAGACAAGTACCGTTCTGGCAACCGCCAAACCCAGACCCGTCCATCAGATTGCCAGATGGAGAAGCGCGATTCGTCACTCCAGAGAACGCGTCTCCACTGCTCTAGAGTCCAGTGGCGGCGTGCTTTACACCACCGCATCCGACGCTTTGCATTGCACTTGGTGATGTATGGCTTGGATGCAGCTGCTCGACCATGGAAACCCATTCCATGAAGCTCTCTGCGCACTGTTCTTGAGCTAATCTGAAGGCCACATGAAGTTTGGAGGTCTGTAGTGATTGACTCTGCAGAAAGTTGGCGACCTCTTCGCACTATGCGCGTCAGCATCCGCTGACCCCGCTCCGTCAGTTTACGTGGCCTACCACTTCGTGGCTGAGTTGCTGTCGTTCCCAAACACTTCCATTTTCTTATAATACAGCTGACAGTTGACTGTGGAATATTTAGGAGCGAGGAAATTTCACGACTGGATTTGTTGCACAGGTGGCATCCTATCACAGTTCCACGCTGGAATTCACTGAGCTCCTGAGAGCGACCCATTCTTTCACAAATGTTTGTAAAAACAGTCTGCATGCCTAGGTGCTTGAATTTATACACCTGTGGCCATGGAAGTGATTGGAACACCTGATTCCGATAATTTGGATGGGTGAGCAAATACTTTTGGCAATATAGTGTATATGCTAATTTGGATGCATTTGTGTGTTTCTACAATTACGTCTGTTGTTTGTTTAACTGCTGTTGTCCTTTTGTGTGCATTTTTTTATGCATGTTCCTTTGTGTGCATAGGTTATGTGCAGAGTCTGATCAGACGTGTGGTAAACAATGTGAACATTGTGGTAAACAACCTGATCCTGAAATACGTGGAAGATGACATTGTGCTTTCGGTCAACATCACCTCAGCAGAGTGCTACACTGTGGATGACATGTGGGAAAGAGCCTTCATGGACATTGCTGGTGAGTAGTTGCTACTTGTTTTCTTTTACATGGGAGATTCACTACCCCACGACCCCCTTAGGGAATAAGCGGCCATGATGATGGATGGATGGATGGGATATTCACTAGTAAATCCACTAGGGCAGTTAAAACAGCATGAATTGATTTAATTGATACTTTATTAATCATTAATGGAATGTTATATAGCCAATGAACAGCAGAACTAAATTGAGGAAAAATCAAAATTTTTGTATAAAACTAAATAAAATTATAAAAACTTGGTAGTCTAAGCTGATGAACTTAGCCATGAACACACCACACATGTGAATGTCCGATGTAAATAATGGGTTAGATTTTGGCGTCGTGTTACGGTCGAAGACTTATCTGCAAATGGCTTTTTTATTGGAAAATTTTGTGTGACTTTGAATCTGTTGGCTGAAGTTTATCTCTTTTTCTCCGTGCTCTCGATAGTTATGACTATGGACGTTCCCATAACACACAAACTCATATGCATTGTTATAGACTGGCTATTTAAAACTTTGTTAGTTTGTAATTTTGGACTTGTAGGAGAGGTCTATGGGGAACCTAACTCTGAATGAGAAATTGATGAGCTCTACCCCACTGTTCTATACCATAAGAATTTTGAAAGTGAATGAAGATTGGCTGTGACTTCTTACCAAAGAGCAATGTAAATGGATCAAATCTTGTGGAAGACTGGGGTTGACATTTATTCCATTGGGATTGAACTGATCGCACAACATGACTTCACAATGGGTAAAAAATTGTCCCCCCCCCTTTTTGTCTTTCTCTCCCTTTACAGCTCCAGAGCTGGTCCTGAGAAAAGTTATAAACTTTGCGGACTGTACCGTGTGTCTGGACAAGCGGAATGCTAGTGGCAAGATCGAGTTTTACCAGGATCCCCTGTTGTACAAATGCTCCTTCAGAACACGCCTTCATTTTACCTATGACAACATCAACTCTAAGATCCCAGCTGTCATCAAAGTGAGCAGCTCCAGTCTTGAGTTAAAAGATAAAGAGTCCAGATTGAGACCACATGTAATTTGATATTTTGCTGTTGTGTTTGGGTTCAACCGTATTTCATAATGAATAATTTAATGTATTTATTTGCTACTAGCACCTAAATGCACCGAAACTGCAAATAGGATTGGTAACTAAGGTATTTTGTTAATGGTTTATTTAGACCCAAATGCCAATGCCAAGTGAGTGGGTTTTGTCAGCATTTCAGTTCATTTGTTACATATACTTTTCACAAAAATAATGATCTTGTCATTAAGGTAGAGGTAATATTTTACTATGAAAGTAACAGTATCCAGTATCTTTAGTTTGAATACCCCATTGAATGTTGCACACAAAACTAAACAACATTGTGTTCGTATTATAAAGATCGTTTGTAAACCAAGGATGAAAAAACATATGATTCAGATGGCTAACATCATTAGGCATTTTACAGACCCTTTCCAAAAAAATGGAATATCATGGAAAAGTTTCAGAATATTTGGTGTCGTTTATAGCTACTATTAGATGTATTAAATAACAAGTTTGACCTAATGTAGATAGGCTCTAAAATATGTTGAACATATATGTTTCTGTATTTGGAAACATTTATCATGCAACAAATGCAAGGAATTTGCTATCTTATAAATGTCCCCTCTGTTTTTTTCCAGATCCACACCATGGTGGAGAGTTTGAAACTGTCCATTACTGATCAGCAGTTACCCATGTTTATTCGGGTTTTAGAGCTGATTATTGCTCTGTACTACGGGGAAATAGGAGGACACAAGGACGGTGAGGGTGAAGAGGGCGTCGGTCTTGTCAGGGATGGAGGAGCAATCTCACCTGGTGAGTTTTCACTTACAATGTGTTTTGTTTTGTCTTGTTCTGTTTCTCCATGTTGTGTTGCTTCTCAACAGCATATCAATATCTGCTCTGACCGTCGCTTGTACTCCCCCTGCTTTTCCCACAAATAAAAAACAGATTGTGTAACAATTGACATAACCTTTTATATCAGGCCTGGTCACCCCTGTTTGGATAGTTGTAAGAGAACAGAAGATGGAGAGAAAAAAACATGAATGATGGAAACACAAACTCCCTTCTGTCGCTACAGCAAAGACTCACTGTTCACATCCAGCAGCCAAGCAAAACACATTTTTCTGAGTATTGATGGTCACACGTTTTGCTATCATACTTGGCTTAAAAAATATCTGATTTACAAAAGTCATAAATTAAAAATTTCAAATCTGAAAGAATAGGACTTTCAGTCTTTACAAATTCATGGTAAAATCAGAAAAGAAGAATAAGCAAAGCTTTGGCCACAATGCTTTGTAATTTCTTCGTTTTTCCGTGAATGTATTCCTCCCATTACAGTTGATAGCTCCTTTTACAGCTTGTGGTAACACAAATATAAGTTTGATAGAAACAAGTGAACAGAATTTTCTGATTTTCATGCATCAGTAACAGGATGCTTTCTCTTACCCTTGTAAAGTCCATTGATATCACATAATGAATTTTGAGCAAATGATTCCGGAAAGCTTCTCTATAAAGTATATTTCAGAGGAGTAATGTAGTTCTACTGCGTAGCAAAGCTAGCAGTGTTAAAACATTAGGGTCTGGATTCATTGTAACCCTATATTGTGAATATGGTGCACAGTACTGTCCAGTATGTTGAGCAGCTTTTGCACCATCAGCTCAAAGGACTTAGAAGCATTTCCCAGCATAGAGCTGCTCTCCTTTACTAGTCTGTTCAGGTTTTTTGTGTCAATAGTTGTCATTAAAAAAGAAGATTGCACACTCCTCTACATAACTATTTAAGACATTGAAAGCTTTAAACTCTCTACATAAATATAATCTGCTTTGTCATTTCTTGCAGATAGCCTCAGTTTGCTCGACAAGAGTCTTAGTTTACTAAGCCTCTTGTCCAGCCCTGAAACTGATTTATCAGAGTATTTCTGGAGATAACTTTGAGTTGCACTGGGAGACTGGAGTGTACAGAGTGAAGACAGCTCAGCCTCTTGTGGTGTTCTTTTGTTGTTATACACCTTCTCAGACACACAACCATTCAGTTACACTAAGTGTGTTTGCTTTTGTCACCTAGTCAGTAAGCAGTTGATGGAACCAGCCACCATTGTTTTAGAGCTACTCAATAAATGGAGCAGTCTAAATTCTATTAGAAGAACTGGATTAAATAGAGAACATATTTCTCACCAGGTTATTTTAATCTGTTCCTGTCTCTCCGGCAGTCTAGTCAGCAAATAACTGCAGACATATAGGAAATTTATACTAATACAGAGGGAAATGTTTGTAAGATTTCCTTGGATTAAGTGAGCTGCAAGGTAACAATGCACAGGTGTGACCAGGATGGTGTGATATTTGTTTGGCTGGAAGCTGGGGACAAATCTGTTCTTTTTTTTAACACTTTCATCAGTCTGATACACCTTTTCCTGTAGTTTTAGAGCTTTTGGACTGCATTGTTATTTACACAGTCTTACTTAAAGAGATAAATAGGTCCTTAGGGTCTGTAGTTTTATTTGCTTGCTGATGTTGAACCACTTCATTTTATATTTAGCCGCTTATGTAATCTTTATGTTGTTTACAGAGTATATACCAGTTTGGAATAATGGTGAATGGATGACCAAACAAATGGTATTATGTTGCTATTGGTCAACATAATCTTAAAACCAATCATTCAGAAATAAATATTGTAGCTGCAGTCTGTTACTCAGTATACATATACACATGTATTTGCTGTTTTAAAAGTTATTGGAAGCAGTCTCTATTATGTATACACTTAAATTTACAAAACATTTTTTATACAGATTTTCCACAACTAATAAACATTCACAAAACATGCCTCATTCTCTAAAAGCCCATCATGTTTCTACCTTAAGTGCCAGCTTGGTTCTTGCCAAATACAACAATATAGAGTCACAACCCTTGCTGGGCTAAATAAGCTTCTGTAGAACAAAGTGCAAATTATGGGGGGACCAAAGTGCTGGTTATGGAAGCAAACAGGCAGCACAGCGTTATGCAGCCTTGCTCTCTCTAACTTGCTCCCTGCCTGTTGGCGTGAAACTTTTACTTTGAATCGGTGCTGCTTCCAGTTCAGTGTCCAATGCCAGATGTAAGAGTCGTGTCATGCTACTGCTATGCAGAGCCTCTGAGAATGAATTAGTATCCCATCACAAAAATATACAAGAGGGGACCAGCTCTTGGAAACTGAGCACCCCCAGATCTTGTTATGCTGGGCGTAATTGACAGAGTGAAGAAGCTGTAAGAGATCTTAGTGCGGTATGTGTGCGTGTATTTAGACAGACCTGAGCTTTTTCATAGTTTTAAGTTTATAATTTTAAGGCATAAATAAATAACATTAACCTCTATGTAAAATAATAAAAGTAAAACCCTGGTGATTTATTATTTTTCATTAAATTAGAATCTATTCTTGTTCCTAGGGAAGATAGACTTTACCACTGAGGCTGTATGATACCTTTTTTTTTGGTAGAATTGTGAGAAGGGCTATAGTGTGTTGTAGTTATTGTGACATGTCTATTGAGACATATCTGTTTTCAATATAGAACTTCATCTCATCCAGTTACCTTTTAGCTGTTTGCTGCTTTTCTTGGTCATCTGGCATTTTTATGTTGTCCGTGTTTGTGCTGGAGTGTATGTTTTTTGGGAGTTGTTTTTGTATCTGATATGAAAAATTGGAAAAATGTTTAGAATTTTACATTCATGAAAGTTGTTTGTGAAAGTGTATGTACTGCATATATGTGAACAATTGTGAAGATTGAGATCTGCTCTGTGCTGTTTCGATTTTTTTCTTCTTTTAATTTTTAGTTTGAATTTTTAAAGGAAATGTCCGTTTCAAAACTTCCTTCCAGTTACTGCAGAGATAAAAAAAAAAGTGTGATATGTGCACACTGTTATGAACAAGTACTGTTAATAACTGTGGTTACATGGTATTTCAGGGATAGCTTCATTGGAGGATACTATAAAATGTAGCTTTGTAGTCAATATGATATTGCAAGGTTTCCTATTATATGAAGTTCAATGAAACATGAAGAAAAATTGCAGCTGGAACGCCAATGACGTCCATACTGAAACAACACAGGAGGTCACCACCATGAAAGATGTATGGTTTCACAAAATATGTTAAGAATTATGAGTCGATGACTATGGCTTCTCTGTGTACTTATATGTGTGCGTGTTTTAGGGAACTGTAGTTAAATGTTTTACCTGATGATATATATGTTAATGTCACTTAATCGGATAAAGCGATAATATTTTTGCTTAAAGGATGACGTTTGGTCTTCAAAGATCACAAAGGAGTAGTTGACACATCAACCTGAGGCAAAAGGAGGATGTATTAGAAATAAATGATTTGTTACCAAAATGAAATGTTTACCTGTGATACACAGTCTTAATCTGACTGTGTTCATGTTTTGCTCTTATGTGAAAACGCGTAAACAAAGATATGTTGCCAAACATACATTTTCCTTTGAAGGTCAAGAGTATCTTTTGCCCCAGAGACAAGTGACCTGCCCTTTTGTTCCTCTATAAACATGCAGGGACATCTACTGGCCAGTGTGAGCACTGTCTTTTCTCAACACATCTTTACTGTGTCACTGAGACATTCGCCCACCAACTCTTCCATCCCTGGATTTTGTTAAACATGCCCTGTAGCTTTAAGACTAGCATATCTAACAACATTCTTTTTTTTAAATTGATGTATTTTTCTTTTTCATTCTTTTTGTAAATCCAGCCAACATCATTCACTGGGAAATTTCAGTTGACTTTTTCTGATTGAAACTTCAAAGTATTCTTGGGTTGATGCGTTTTGATCATTTGACCAATTCATTCGTGATTTTCATGTATTTTGATTACCCATGTTCAGGCCATGAAATGAAAAGTGAGAGAGTTTAACTTGTTGAACTGACACCTTGAAGTGTTCATAGGGTAAAAACAAAGAGGAAACAAGTAGAAATGGGATAATTGGATGGGGAAATTTGGCTAGAGTGAGATTAAAAAGCCATAACATGGGATTTCCAACTGCCAATTCGCAAAGTGAAAGATTTAATTAAAATATGTCATAATTTTCACCGCCTTAGCCTCTGGGATTCCAGGAGTATGACTTCACAAGCAATATTGTTTTCTCACAAAGAGCATGAGGCAGTGAGGAATGGGATTACACATTCTTTTGTATTGACATCAGTTTCCTTTACCCTGACTTACATGGAAACAGACATAATTGGACCAGTCCAGGGGTCAGGACATGGACCATTGGAGTGCACGGTTTGGGGTTCCTGTAAACCTTCAAATGATTTTCTGAGTAAAAGGTTTGCTAATCAAGGTTACCCCTACTTTTTCATACACACACCACCTATACGCCATTCAAGTTAGGAGCATCTTTCCAAGCCAACTAGTGTAGTCAACTCCACTGTCACTTTTTTAACCATTTTTGTTTGTACAGTTGGTTAAATCATCACTTTTTCATTACTTAACTACCCTTGCCCCTCTTGCCTCACCTTGTATTGGTGGCTTTGGCTTGTCTATAGTTTCTGTTGGTTGGATTCTTATAAAATGTATACTTAGTCCCATTCTTGCCTGTGTTGTTGTTCCACTGCTGACAGCCTTGACCATTGGGCCCGAGGCCTCTTTTCCCGGTAAGGCCTCTCTACTGTCAGGACGGGCTCGCTGAAAGCTGTGTGCTCTTTGGCATCAATGGACTTCCACTTCCTCTGCAGAGCTCATGCAGCAGTTAGCATACATGCAACACACAAGCACTCACACACCTGTGTCTCGGCTCAGAGGCAGTAACTACTGTGAAAGTGCCTCAGTCTGTGCCATTTTTGTGTTTGCTTGACAGCTGAAATAACTTGCCTGTTTTAAACTGCCCTTAAGGAATGCACAAATTGAGTGTGTTGCACTGGGTTCAGACACCTTCCTTTTTCGACAATTGTCTCTTTGTATTGCCTATTCGTATGATGAGCTGGCTTGTTCAAGTAAACCTGCATAAGTTAAAACAATTTAACAGTAAATCATCGTTTTTCATAACGCCAAGTTGTGATTGTAATATAGAATAAACAATGGTCTTTTACATCAGTGTCATTTTTATGTTAAAAAAAAGACCTATGGGATCCTTATTTTGAGTATTGGGTTAAATCGTAAATCCTAATTAAACTTTACAAACAAAAATAGATGTTAAGCCAAGACACACTCTACCAAATCTTCACCATCATTATAACAAATGACGTTTTCTGTCCTAATCAGGGATGGATGTCAACATGGAAAGACTGGGATCTGGAGACTACTCCAGCGAGGACTTCTTCATGCAGACTGGGAGCCCTGATGAGGCAGACCAAGGCTGGGTGTCCTGGGCTTGGTCCTTTGTGCCAGCCATCGTAGGCACAGAGGAAGAAGGGGAAGAAGATCCTTACCAGCAGAGAGAGAGCGGAGGCATTCCGAACAGCCCCCAGCACCACACATCCAAAGACCCCATTGTTTCGATAGGTTTCTACTGCACCAAGGCCTCTGTCACCTTCAAGGTAAATCTGCTGTTTAAAAGTTTATAAATTATTAAGATTATTGTTGCTAACAGAGTTTATAGATTATTTGTTTAAAAATGTATTCTTACCAGAGACATAAGTGCCAATGGGTTAAAATGATATCCACTTGTATGATTTATATGAATGTAATGGCCAATAGTTCATAATGTGGTACTTTCTAACCTTGGCTGGGATCTACAAAGTACTTTCCATTGTGTTTTTCTTTTGAACCATTAACATATTTAACATACTGATTCTATGCAGGCAGTACTTTCCATCTAATACTCACCTACTCACACATTGATGAGCATGTCACTGGCAATGTTAGATGCAGTGTCGTACCGAAGGGCATTGGCACATGTGGAAAGCTGGGTAATCCAGCAACCTCCTAACTAGTGGTCACCAATGTCACCACCGCCCCAACAAATTTTCCTTCCTGCTACCTTACTATTTATTCATTTTCATTTCCTCATTTCAGACTAAGCCCTGAACGCTTTGATGTCCTTGTCATTTTCAATTGAACAGATTTGTGCAGAGGAAGTCTCGGCTCTATTAGTCTCCTTGTGAGGTATACTGGAGAGACGAATAACTGCTAATGCTGTCTTTGGTCACATTATTGTCTTAAACATTATACATGGCATGAACGCTGTTCAGAAATAGATCCCAAACTTTAATCCTGCCTGCTTATGCTGAATAGCTGGAATTCAACTGTGTCTCCCCTCAGATTCAGGCACTACATATCACATTACTTGTAGTGCATGTGTTTTATGTGTGTGAGTAAAAATGTGTGTGTACTCATACCCTAGGTATTACTCGTGTGTGTGTTTCTGAAAAAAAGAGTGCACATGTATTTGACAGAGGAACTGATCAGTGTAGGGGGATGTGTCTCTCGGGCTACGAAAATTATGGTGTTTTTCTAATAATGTTTAAACTTTTCCTGTATTGTTTAAATTCTTTTAATCAATTAATTGCCTTTGTTCTGGAGTAATTACAGACAGCTGAAAGGATGGTTTTTAAATGTTCTCGTCTCTTGCCTACACGGAAGTATTTAGTTTTAAGGAATTTCATGTCTTTGAACAGTTCCAGGCTTAACTGGAGCTTGAAAAAGATGTGAAAGGAGAGATATTTTTTAGATTGCTGGTAATCTTTGATCAGAGAAATTGTCATTGTAATTTATTGTGTTTTATACAGATTATGCCAAGTTTAGCACTGACCAGTTGTTCCCTTATGCATGTTTTTATAAGTTGGATTTAACTGTATCTGCTAGTTTTATTTCTGCAGTCTCAGCAGAATTCAGTCCTAGTGTCTAATGATACTTTTTCAACAATAATTTTATCGTAATTGTTTTCTGTTCAATAGGCTAGTTTTCTGACATTCACACTCACATTGGGTTTCTGTGGGTCTGAAATTTTTTAAATATATGATTTATCAAATGACTGTTATAAGAGTTGTAGGTATTTATATTGCTGGCTACACTGGCATAGACGTTTTTTATTTATGCTGCTTCTCTATCCACCCTCAATGTTTTTTCAGATTTTGACTTAATTAGAGGGCACTACCACATTTCTATATGATAAACATTCATGTTGCCTACCTGTATTTGTGATTATTTAGTTACAGTAACATTGTCAAACAACCTTTTCTTTTGCAATGTAATTAAACATTCTTTTTATTATTATGCCAAGAGATTGACAGATGGTGGGGAACAGCCCTAGCATGTGATTAAACTCACAATTGCGAGAGGGGAAGGGAGTGAGGGTGAGAGCCTGCTCCATCAAAATAATAAGCCACAGCTGCTACTTGCTCTGCACCTGCTTCCTGTGTTGAAGCTGAATTTGTTGGGTTTTGTGCATTCTACTTCTAACCCCCATATTTTAAACCAACCTCAGAAGCATTGCAGCTTTGTATGATTGTCACCCCAGCTGACTACTTTTTGCCTGTATCTTTCTCCTTCTTTACCTTTGCCATGTTGTTACAATAACAGCTTAATTGGCTTATATCAGTTATTCTGAATAACTGATTAATAATTAATTGTAAATGATCATTTTGCATCCTGATATTCTTGTCTATTGTCATTTTTTTGGTTTTCAACAAGGCAGTCTCAGATTAGAAAGTCGTGTATTGTCATGTAGTTTCGTCATTGTTCTTGCGTCAAGTGTGCGCTTGAAACATCTTAAAGTAAACGTATCGCTTTCTGAAACATTGAGCTGGCAAAATAATTTCTTTCTACAGTTTGATATATGAAAAGATATCCTTTACCACTCTTTGTCATGTTATTTTTTTTTTTTACAACAGTACATTGACTTAATTGAGTCAGTTGAGTCTTTTCTAATATAAACTACTTTGTAGATTCACCAGAATGACAGAGCCTTAACTATAACTCAGTTGATTTATGATTTTTTTCCCCCATTTTTTTGTGCCTCCCGGGAATGACAAAAATTAGCTCCCTATATGAAAGTCAGGACTGGGTGCGGGCCTTCAGATGTTTCTTTTAACACCACCTTCTCAGTATGGAAAGCAATGGATTACTTTGCTGGGCAGATCGCATCTTCACTGTTGGATCTCAGCCTACTTTCATATTGAAGAACATAACTTGTGACACATTTTGTATCTAAAACCTGTGACACCACGTGACACATAAAATGTTTTTCTGTTTTTTTAAGCTGACCGAAACACAGTCAGAGAGCAGTTACTACAGTCCTCAGAAAGTAAAATCCAGAGAAGTCCTATGCCTAGAGCAAGAAGGAATCACTATTGAGGTAAGACTGTACAGTGTCTCTTTTTATTACTGTCAATAGTTTTGTTGATTGGGATAGGTTATTTCCCCATTAATTTATTTTAATCTTTTATTAAAAATGTCTATGCTTCATATGATAAATCTACTGCACAAGAATAGAAACAACCTATAATTATTCGGACAGATATGAGATCTTGCTTAGTTTTTTAGTGGCAGCAGTGATAATGATAGTGAATACTATCACTGGGAAAAAGCAAACCTTAAACCAGTAGTTAAGCGTTAGTTTCATGGCTTTAACAAGTAGTGAATATATATCTCTTCCCTTTCAACAATAATTGTTGTTATCTCTTTCTTCACTGCTAATCCATGGTTCATGTCAGGTTGAAATTTTGTATCTTTACTTCACACCCTCTAAATTCAGTAGTGTCTGAATTGAACCCAAGACATAGCTCTTCATGTTTTTATAACTATATATATTTCTTGTTGCTTTGCCTTAGCTTGAGAGGAATCTTTGGATTTAGGGTTACTTTAAGACGTGGAAAGTTCAAAGAGATTTCCAATCATTATGATGTCTCTGGAAGAGAGCGGGACAGCTGTTGTAACTGAGACCAAATGCTGTGTTACTTCGGTGCAGACCAGATTACTGGTGGTGTCATTGTGAGGGAGTCATTGATGGATGTAGGTTTATGTTAAGTTGTACCTTCTTTTGGGCATTACTGAATCTGAGTACTTGTATCAATCATTCATAAAAAGGCCCACATGAATTCAAGCTAAGCATATCTGTTTTGTTACTGGTTGTATGACATATGAGCCTCTTGGCACCATGGTTTTCAGTGTGTCAACACTTAGAAAAAAAGGATATGAAAATATTTATTTAATTTTTTTTCATTTCATTGGGGCAATAGCAACCAGAATAAATGCTTTGTACACACAGTTGGGATGACACTTTATGGTAATTGTATGAAATAAAATAAAAGAAATGTCATAACAAATTCTTGATTTAGGCATCACATGCATGAACTGATTTTGCATGAACTGGGTTAATTATGAAACAAAAAAGTTAGACCATAAGAAATGAAAAGAGGTTAGATAAAAATGCTAATGGAATGATTCTTTTTGTTAGGTGATATGGTTTGATTGGTTTCTGTGGTTGCTCAAAGCTAAATGTACTTAATATAAACTTTTTAGATGCTCAGTCAGACACATAGCATCAGTGGGCTAATTTGACAAAGCATTGAATGTGTCTCCTTAAAGTAAGCATAATATATTCATAGGCTGGTAGCAAGTATTCTGTTAATGTTACTATGTATTATCAAACTACTATAATAACAGATCTCTTTTTCATCTCACCTACTATACTCTCTGTGTGTACGATATATAATCACACATGGGCTAAGGTGTCACTATATATTACTTTAACCAATACAAATGTGTTATGAATATATAATGATTCTTCTAGTTTTTAAACGTTTTTTTTCCAGTTTCCACATTGTTTTTCTGTAAAGTTGGCTAAGACGTTGGGAATATTTTTTTTCCAGGTGCTCATGATGGGGGAGCCCTTCTTTGATTGTCAGATTGGATTTGTTGGCTGTCGGGCACTCTGCCTGAAAGGAATTATGGGAGTTGGGGATTTTGAAGAAAATATGAATCGACGTGAAGAGGTAAAGGTTTTTTAAAAGAAAAAGGAAAGCCAAAAAAAAAAATTCAGTTAAATATTATTTAGCTTCTATTGAATTCTAGAAAAAAAATCATGATTACAAACTGTTTTAATTATTTATTATTTGCTAATTACCAGAATTCTTATATCTACATTCATTACTATGTAAACATGACCTGATAACATGCACATGTCCAACACCCTACAGCAAAAACAATGCATCTTTTTAAAACAAAACATTTATTATGTTGTTTTTGACTCTCCTTTCTTCTCTCTGTCTCTGTAGGATGCTGTGTTTTTTAGCTGTGGAGAAAACCTGAACAGTAAAGGAATGACTTACCTTACCAACTCTCTTTTCGACTATCGTAGTCCAGAGAACAATGGAGTCAGAGCTGAGTTCATCCTGGATGCTGCTAATCATAAGGTCACAATTAAATTATATTAATTCTAAACCTGATTCTATTCCTAATTGTATTAGGAATAATGTCCCCCACCTCACAGTTGGTTAAAACGCTGCCTTTGTTTGAATAGAAGGCGACAATGTAGGGACCCATAATGCTTCGACAAGTTGAGTTCTTCACAACACCAGTAAAACAGTTTTTGATTTAGTAAACTTTTTCCCAAAACCTTTTATGAAAACAACCAGCTCGACATAAATCCTCCAAATGTATTTTTATAGTCATCACAATTCTCTCAATGTTTTATTCCCCATATTTTTTCCTCAAAAAGCAGTAGGACTAATTATATTTAGTGTTACTGTTTAAACACATATTTTCTCCTCCAATTAAAGATTTTTTCATCTGTCACCCAACTACTGGTTGAAATGTTCAATCTATCTGAACAGTCATCCTAGCCATTGTTCCTGATAACGCTCAGCTCCTTTCTTCAGCCCTCACTGCACAAATGTTTACTCGACACAGGACATTCATGACCTCCAATAAAGCAATTGTTTGGAAATCCATCCATCCAACCTTCCATCCCTCTCTGCATCCATACTTAAAAGTCGAAGTCTCAAAGGTTTGAGTGTTAATTTATTAGCGATTTTGAAACCAGCCTGGCTTTGATCCAAAAACAAGGCACAGCCATTAGAGCAACTGACATGCCCTAATAAATATTACTCATTAACCTGTCTCCCTGATAAGGCTCTCTTGAAATGTGTTTGGACACATTCTGGGTAAATTTGGGATGGAGGTTGAAACGCGTTACGGGCCTCATTGTTTCTCGTGGTGTCCAGATGAGATATTACTTTCCAAGGTGACCAGGAAGACCGCTTTGATTAAATGTTTGCATGTTGTGCGTCCTGGGTTTGGAGCATCACTTATGTGAAGATGCAATATGGAGGTGACAGGTTATCCAACAGCCTTGATTTAGTGTGCTTGAATACCATTTACCTGACATTGTAAATGACTGAGAAAAGACCACCAGTAAGAGGCATGTATGCTAACATTAACACAGTTGCCTATGTGGTGAAAAAAGAAATATGTTTTCATTCTTTTGACAGTTATCATGCAATATATGCACTCTTGAATGAATTTATTTCTGACTATTCCACCGCAAAAAGTGATTAATTAATAATCATAATCTTATGTTGACTTTAGGGGTAGGGTTATTTATTCATATATATATATAAACCCACCCTAGTCCAACTAAGCAGCACAGCCGCTCAATAGTTTTTTTATCTTTGATTTGACCCTCTCTGCTATATCTGCCTTGACCCCAGTCATTGCCACTCTTTAAGACTATCAGTCTGTTTGCTCCCCCACTGCCATGTTTACCTAACTCTACTATTGTTTGACAGGAGACCTACACGGAGATAGCGGGCATGCATCGCTTTGGGGCTTTCTACATGGATTATCTTTACACAATGGAAAACAGCAGCACCAAAGGTATTGTCTCATTCATTCCTCCTCCAAACTTGTTTGGTCACCTTGTCACCTCTTCTCTTTTTTTCTTTGTATCTGTCATATTCTCTTTTCCTCTTTTTTCCCCTGTGTATCTTATTCCCTCTGTCTCTCTACCCCATTATTTCTTTTCAAGTCTCTTCAAGACTTGAAGAAAGAGCTTGTTCTTTTTTCATTCACAACCACCTGGTCCTTGACCCTCTCTGTCCTCACTCTCACCCCAAACTTACCTGTGGGGCACCTGTCAGAATTGTTTAGTCTGAGCTGACACATATTTGAGTTTCTCTCTCTCTCTCTCTCTCTCTCTACTGCTTGTTGAAACACTGTTTTCTAATCTGTCTCGTTACCTGTAAGATCTTGAGAAAGTGAATAGGCCTCACTTGCCTAATTAGATGTCACTCTTCATGGTAGAAACCTTAAGACATGGAGAGTTCCTCATTCCTCAGGTGCTGCACGTAAGAATGTTTATTCAAATTTGTAACATCTGAAGTTGCTATTTAGAAAATAAAGTTTGCATCCCTTTGTAGCATTGGAATTGCTACTTTTGGTCAACAAAGTGTTTTTGCTGTGCAAGATTGGGGTTCTAGTTCAAAAAAAGAAAAAAAAGTGACAAAATAGACCTTCATAAACTTTGCCCATATTTGAACGATTATTATTGACATTATCATCATTGGTAATATTATTAAAATGTTCAATATTCGACAAATTTATAGTGAATCAGTGGACACAGTTAATTATGTTCTCAAGAACACTCATTTTCAACAGTTGTTGCTTAATTACTCTAAATATACTCATATACTCATGTCTTTTTGCCTGTCTCCATGCTTCTTTCTTTGTCTTATCTTTTTTGGTGCCTTTGCCTGCTGTTGTCAACTACAGATGAGTATCTAGATTAAAGAAAACATTGACACTGTCATCTGGAGCTATCAAAGTAATTTCCACAGCAGGATAAGTGTCAGTTTCTTTCCCTGTGGGACAGCTGTTCTGGGACACACACCAGATCCAGTGCCGACAAAACAAGTTACTCTGTATCCCATGGGACTAACTTAATCTCCGCTCCAACTAAATATTGAAGCCACCCAGGTCACTCTTACCATTGACTTCACATTAGAGTAATGTTTTAGATTTAATAACTTTTTTCTAACCTTAGGAAATGGAGACACATTTAAATCGTCTAAATCCTGGCTAATTGCAGCGTCCTCATCATTCCACTGACCATTCTAACTGCAGCCATATGGTTGATATTAGGCATAATCCACTGTAGCCACATCTCACTAGGGGGAAGGGAAAGTGGCATTACCTGTTTCCCTTTGCAGGTTTTTCAAAACTATCTGAGTTACACCTCAATACCTCTGCCTCACTAGTAGAAAAGTTGAATTCATTTGATTCTCATCTCCTAGTATGTTCACCGCACTGATGGAATGTTATGGGAATAAGGGAAGTTGTGACCCTTTGTCCTTTTCCTCCCTCACTGCCATTCATCCAACCCCCTTCTTTTATTTTTAATTTCTCCTTTTTTATTGCTGGGAAGCTGAGTCTTTTAAGTGGACCTCTGGAACACGAGCCTAAGATGAATGAAGGGACAGCTGTGTGAGAGATCTGGACATTTGGAATATTCATCATGCCATTCTTTCACAGCTCTGTGTGCTGCTCCATGTTACTGCATTGTACCAAAAGGGACTTTTTGGAGCATGGAAGAAAAACTCAAAAACAGAAATATAAACGTGATAAACTATTTTGTATATTGTGTTTTTTATACAGCTTATTTTACAATTTTTTTTCCGTCCATTTGACATTTAAAATCAAGAATGTCTTCATTTTGACTGACAGAAGAATGCCATATAATGTAAAAGCACGTCAAATACCCATTAAAGTATGTTCTCCTCAAATTCCTCTTTGTAGGATCTCAGGATTTCTCTGTGCTCAGTATGGAGGAAGTAGTGCCTGTGGTTCAAGAGACATCCATCAAGCGGCTGGTGGTGGGACCTCTAGACATCAGGCTGCACAGCAGTGCAGTCCACCGCATCCTCAAGATGATTACCTGCGCCATGGACCACGAATATGAACCCTACTGCAAACCACAGCGAGGTTAGAGATCTCATTCCAGTATATGTCCTAATCATGGAGTCTTGTCAGTATTTCCTTTTTGCCTCTCCTCTTTCACATTAATCCTCTTGTAAGTTTCTAGAATTAGTTGCAAAATAAGGTGTGGGTTTGCATTTTGCAGCTGGCTTTTTACATGATTATTTCCTTTCACAATAGATTTTTCAACATACTAGTTTAGATTATGTGACCTTTAGTGACCTTTTAATTATTAATTTGGTGACCTTTTAATGGTAAGTTAAACACCTGGATGATATCTCCTGGTTCAAACTTCAATCTTTAATTTTCAGCAGGGGACTCTATATGATTGGTCCCTGGGGTTGTAATTTGGATTTCATTATTTGAGCAAAAATTGCATATATTGTTATTTTCATAATAGATTTAAAATCCCAAATTCTAAATTTATTTGATATATTTAGCTTGACAAATTATACTACAAGTAATTTCTGATTGTGTTTTTTGACCAGGATATGTTTTGATTTTGTCTACAAACCAGCTATAGATTAAGATGAAATCTCAGATATCTATAGGTTCTTATCCTCATTCAATTAAACAGTTGAAGACTTGGTTGTGAGACAGAAAAAGCAGGTCTTGTGAAGACAAGTGTGTCTGTGTTGGAATGCCTCTTTATTTTCTTTTTTCATCTTTTTAGGATTTTTCACATTGTTTAAAAGATTGTCTTCGTGTTTGCTTACAAAAATAATCATCTTATTTGTAATGGTAAATTTTCTTATTGACATGATACTGGAACCCAAGTATGTTTGGACATGACTGTGGTCGTGAAACGTTTTTCAGTTAGCTGCAGTACCCAAAGGCCAAAACTGCTTTGGGATCAGGTTTTGCGCCCACCTTGGAGCTGGGAATCATCCCAACATTTTTTTTTTCCAGAAGTGGAAGAAACTAATGTCCTGGAACCAGGGGTCAGGGTTAAAACAAAGGGCTCAGGTTTTGGTTCTGGTCTCCCTCAGGCACTAGATTCTGTGGTTCTGTGGTCCAGTGTTTTAGTTATTCTTTACTTTGGTTAGTGCTGACCATGCTAGCCTCTTTTTCAACATTTCCACTTTGGTTCACGCTATTTTATGCCTTTTCACTTTTATTTTGCATGATTCTGATCATTAAAAAGTTCTAGCAGTCAAAGGTGTTTGCAAATGTCTACTTTTGCTGTGTATAATGCTTGATACCTGAAATAGTTGGCATTTTTTCAGCATTTTTTATACTGCAAGCATAGAGAAGTGGAACCATTGATTTCCTTTGTAAACCAATGTTTAGCATTTAACTCCAAATTTCCTCCACCTAACCCACGTGTTTACTTTAGTCATACTAGTAAACTACTAGTACTTAATTATTGTTTACTTCTTAATAATTATTCTATTCTCTGCTTCCCTTGTATGTCTACGAATGATTTTTGTCTCTGTAGAAAATTCCGAGGACTGCAGTCGTCCAGCCACCCCAAAGGACATATCATACTTTGAGGAATTTATCCCAACCAGACTCACTAGTCTTACTCTGCTAAAAGTCTCAGTCAGTGTCTTTATGGCAGAGTTCAACCTCCTTCACACACTGTTGCCTGTCATCTTGGGATGCAAGGTAACTCAAATTAGTTTCAAATTAGATTTTGTTTACATTTTCTTTGTAGTCCATTGCAAATGTAGATATAAGAATATATTACAATCATTGCATAAGTTAAAATAATCAAATGTGTTGATCAGACACTTTTAAGGACATTTCAGGGTTTCTTTTACCAACTCTTTATTTTTTCAATCCTTAAGGCGGCTCCAGGACATGTCTCTGCGCCAATGTTTCAACCGCTGAACCCACTTCCATGTGTTCAATTCCACGTAGAAAGGGTAAACGTTGAACACTCTGTTCCAATGTATGCTCCGGAGCTGGTCACTACTGTCAGCAGTCTTAGTCAGCCCTCTGACAACCTGCTCCATCACTGCTACGCACATCTGTATCTCAAGGTGAGCATAACAGTATTCAGTTACAAAGGAAAGGCCCCATTTATCTTCTAAGAAAGTCTTTTTTTTTTTTAAAACAGCAGAGCTTGTGACGTAAAATAACTGTGATGCTATCCAAGGTGGTTTTAATGTCAGTGGTGAATTCTATCAGTTACGGGGCTTCTTTGGTTTAACTCTCTTTCCTCATGAAATCCACCCAAGAAGCATGTCCATGAGAACAATTTGTTCCAAGATTTTTCATTAAAAACACATTTCTCCACACACAAAGAAAAACACATTTTAAATGAGCACAATATATAGATCTGACACAGTTCCTTTGCAATGACTTTTCTGTTCTATTATGACTTGAAAAAGAGTGGTATCTCAGGTACTATAGTAAGGCAAGTTAACTGTATTTGCACATTCTGAAATTACCCCAGTAACCTTTTTGATGACCTTAATGAACTCTTTGTACCTGATAATTAAATGTTGAGAGGATCCAAATTCCTTGATGACCACTGGTCAATCTATGCTTGTTTTCTTGTTTTTCTTCTGTCATACTGACAGGATGTGACAGGGTGGAATGGCAGCAGCATGGCTTTATTACTTCATTGGTCATAAAATATGATATGCCATTCATATTGTTATTTTATGTATTGCATGCTTTTACATAGCAATCTAAAAAGCAATCTTAATGAAAAGCTGTTAAGTTTATTTTTAAGAGACCCACTGAAAACCCTTGGTAAAATGATGTAGAACATCTTCAGATATGATTATTCCCAGAAATATTTCTTATTCTAACTCCTTACAACATCTATTGTTTCTTGAATATCAATGCTTGAAACAAAAACCTCACACTCAATTACAATCTTAAATGTGTTTGAATCTAATCCCAAAACATTTAGTAGTAAGCTTGAAATGTAAGATTTCAGTTGTATAAAATTGTTTAGAAACATTTTAGCCAGTTATTATAGAACTCAGTATAGAGATCAGTTTAAATGTTCAGCTATATCAAATCATGAAAATAAAATCAACCAACTCTTTGTTGGTCAGATGGCAATAATTTGTTTGAACCCATCTTATGACCGAAGAGTTTTGGTTTTTTTTTTTTAGAGACAGGATGTTTACTGGACATCATGCTGGTAGCCCTTATCACAGGGTCAGTGTAGGGTTAACAGGCAACTAGTCAGTGACCAATCAGCACCTTTATCTTCTGAGGTTCTAGTTCTATCTCTGGTTTTTGGTATTCGGATCATGGCAGGGTAGAGGTCACTCTGGCCACAATTCACCTAGTTGAGGAAGTGATTTGAACGGGGTATAAACCAAAGCTTATCTTAATCTTTATTTTATTGACGTAGGCTGTCAATGCTTTGGCATCTGTGTTGAATGGTAGTGGTTTGCTGTTATCTCACTTTTGAGCTTGGGCCACAAGGGCCCTCAAAAGTCACTTGAAAGATTGCCCATGAAAACTAATTTATCACCTTTTTTGCTAAAATATTCAGACATGATAGCCACAGAGAGAACATATATTATTTTGCCATTCAAACAGTTTCAAGGTGTGTTTGGGTTTAAGTGCTTCACAAAAATCTACATTTGTCCTGTAACTTAAAATATTTTGATTGATTTGATATTCTTTCCTGTTTTTATCATATTTTGATACTTGAGTTCATTCCTCTCTGTCTCTCATATTTCTGCATTTCTTTCTGTTTTCCTCCCTTTTCTTCCTCATTTCCTTCCTTTGTTCTCCCTTTAAAGGTGTTTGGGTTCCAGGCAGGCTTGACATACCAGGACAGCACAGGGGGCTTTTTGCCCCTCATCTCCATTATCCCATCCTTCAGCACTGCTCTGTATGGAAAGCTGATTCAGATGCCTGCATTCTGGTAAGTTTGTGGCACTTGTCTTATGGCTTAATTGGAATGTTTGTGAGAGCTACTTTATAGGGACAGACTTTAATTTAGAGGAATGTTGTTTTTAAACAAACTTCTGTCTTTCTTTGTACCATTGCTTTTTTTAGTTCACTTTTTATATTTCATTTTCTTTTAGCACACTGATTGGTTGATTTGGGAAAAATTCCTCTTTAAATTGAGAAAAAAAATCCTTCTCCCTGGAAAAAAATATCTTTGGCATCCTCCACTCCCCTCGCTATCTTCATACACACACCTGCACCAACACACACTCACCTTTTGCTATGCTCTCACACCTTGCAGTCAAAGTGCCTGTTAAAGCAGGAAACCTGTGCTAGAGTACTGCCTTGGGAATCCATTTCTTTCCATTAGTTTAGATTTAAACATGTCAAAGAGCTGCAGATGGTTTTGACGTCTTGTCCAGGAAAATAATGTATCATCTGTACAGCTCTTTGCTTGCCAAAAAGGGAACCACAAGGCTTACACTCAGAATTGGGTTTAAGAATGCCCTCAGACTGAACACGATGCCCTGTGCTCTCCACAACTAATAATGTGTTTTTTTTTTAAATATCTCCACCCCAATCTAACTTTCTTCCCAGCCATGCTGCCTTTCCTACCTCAAATAAAGAGTTCAATTGTCAAAAGATGTAATTTTTTTCCTGTAATGTGTTCAAAATGTGTATTATCCATTAGTGATTCGAATACAATTTATGCTCTATTACACTGAGCTCAAATCCCCAAGGTTTCCCGTTTCATTTAGATTCTTTTGCTTTATATAATTTTCCTTTTCTTCAATTTAAGCTTGATATTTCTGATAGCTATACCTTTCTAATAGTTGCCTGTTTGTTTCACTGTCAGTCCCTTTCATGTAGGTGATAAAGCACTCAGGTTATTTCTGCAATGCCAAGTGCTCTGTCATTTCCTAGTTGAAATGACTCATATTTGACCCCTCTGAGACAGCCTACCAGACAGTCTTCCACCTGATTTGTCACTACAGTCAAAATCTAATAAACACAACCTGACAGGTTTCTCCTGGAAGAATGATGATGAGCAGGTCTGACAGAGTTCAAAAAGTGGTTAGCAGAAATAGAAGAAATTATGAAGCGACTGTTTGACAGCCGGCAGTCATAATCAATTAACTATAATTTATCAGTTCTTGTTTGAAAACCGTAGCTGTACAGATTTGGATATTAAATAAAACCAAACAAAATAAAATAACAAAGCAACAAAAAGCTGGGGAAAAAATATTTGAAATATAACTTAAAGTGGACATGGTATGATAATTTAGTTAATTTCAGTTTTCATCTTGAGAGTCTCCACATTACATCTGGCTCCAACTCTCTGATTTCTGATGCCTTGCCAGTGGGACATTGGAGAGAAGGTTGGTGAGATTTGTGAGGCTATTAGGTGTGTTTGGTAAATGTACTCATTATCTGCCACGCTGAAACAATGCAACATGTTGCTTGAGGGGAAAACAGCCATGACTTTTAGCTTCCGTCTACCTGCTAAACCATAGCGCGATCAAACACTTTTGTAATGAATGGAGTAACTGGCTAAGAAAAAAAAACAGCCTCCATTGATTCATCATTTCTGTGCCTTTGGTGAAGCTGAGACAGCCACAAATGCATTGTAGACATGTCTGAAACAAACACAAACTAGAGGCACCTGTGGATCTGACTGTTCCTTGAAAGAGAAATTGTTCTGCTTTTAAAATGATTGAATTGGATAACATACACTGCCTGGAGTATTTGACAATATGTAGAGATCTGTGAACTATGTCCAGTTTGATGGAAAAAGGCCTATGAGCAGAATAAATAGTTTTCTTTTGAATGGAAATACTAAAACCCAGTTACTGGCACTTTCAGGTCCTTCTTTACAGACATTAAGTGTAAAGAAAAGTGTGCTGTTTAAATTCTAGCTGTCCAGAGTACAGAAATTTCACTGTATATTGTTTCCATCATTACCACTTATTAACAACACACAGAAAGGCCCCTGGTTCCCCAGGGATTCGAACCAGGAGCCCTCTTGCTGTTTTTCTACAGTGCTAACTGCCACACCATGTATACTTATGGAATTTATTTTCTTTCTCAGATCATTTCTCTGTGTCAAAATCTCTTGTTTACTATGTTAAGAGTTAGATTCCTACCAAAGTCTCCGTGTATCAATTAAAATAATCAAAATTGGTGGCGATAAAGTGAAGAGAAAATGCTAAATAAGAACAAGAAAAAAACAAAAAGCTTTATGGTAAACACAGATGGCCAGTTACAGAGGTCTCTGTGTTTTTGACTTTCAGGCCACTTCCAGTATTGAGAAATTTCTAAATACCACTATTCCCAAACAAACTATGTCTTATACATCTGAATACAAAGAGTAGCTCTGTTTTAATTTAAGCTCAAATACTTGCACACTCTTACTCTCCTTTTTCTCAAAATTGGCATACGTTGATTAAAGTTGCATTGCAAGCAAAAGATCAGGTCAGGGACACTGACCTCCAATGTAACACAAATACTTTTTTAAATTGTTATTATTCTGTTGATAGTCTATTCTTATATTAATGTTCGGGGTTGTAGCGACATATCGATACTATGATGATGATATTTGTGAGGTATCCGAAATTTAAACTTTTCCTTATGTGTCAATATAAAGAGAGAGCAAGTAAAAATTAGGCATTTGTTGACATATTTTAGCTCCACTCCAAATGTTACAGGGTGGCTATTGAGTATGTAGTATGAGAATTTGAAGGTTTGAAATGCACTAATTGGATTATGCAGTCACACTGCATTACCATGGTTAATAAATAACTTCAAGTGAGTGCTTTCCTCTTGGTAAACATTTAGCTTGGGCCCACTTGATCACTGTAATTTGATCTGTGGTTGGGCTGAATGATTAGAGCCTGTTTACATCTCTTAATATGCGTCCTGGGTGATCCCATCACAGGTGGATGGTTTGATCTACAGGTGTTTCGACTCAAGACACAATGAGATCAGATTACATACTACATTTTCCGGTAGTCTGCAACATTCCACAGTCTTGTATTAAGGTGTGCACAATTCTGAGGTCTGTTTGAGGCAGCAACATTTATTTTAACTGAGAGTAGATTACGGTACTTTATTTCAAACGTCTACTGCACCTAAACAACTGCCTTTGCTGTTGAGATAATTGCTCACATTTATTGCTATCATCGACATTAAAGTACACTGTAGAAATTCAGACAGTTCAGGATGAAGAGAACATGATGAATAGAATTAGTTAGAAGAAACAGAGAAGTGGTTAGTTTAATCCATTTAAAATAAAATAAAAACTCCATTAATTAACCTTTTTATAACCACAATTAAAGATGTAGTGTGTTGAACAAATCAAATTTATTAAGCAAAGTAAAGGTCCAGATGGATTGTGCAGTAAGTGTTAGTTGGCTTGACTTTTAAACCTGTTATTCATGATAAAATTGGTGCCTGCTCCCCCACTCTTCACCTTCCCAGGAAAATAAAAAGAGGCAGAGGAGGAGGGAAGTGCCACCTGCATTGATCTCCTCAAAATTTAAACTCGCTCTCGCTCAGACACATGAACACATATGCACACCCACTTTTTCTAACACCATATAGTATTCCCAGTGCAGGGCCACCTGACGGCCGCAACATATGGAGGGAGGCCGTGGCCCACCAACTAACCAAAAAACCAGCAGCAGCTTGGTGTGGTTTGTTGCATCGCAGGCCATAATTCAGGTCTGCGCCAGCTTTTATGTGGCATTTTTAGCAGCCCTTATTAGTTGCGCCGCTATTTCTGAGTGAATAATTTCTCAAAGGTTGTGGCATTACAGATGCAAGTTATACAGCCTCTTGCCTTAAGAATATAGATTTGAAAAGAACGCTGGTTTTCCCTTGATATCTCATTATAATTATTACACAGTCAGAGGTTAGTCCAGTTTTTAGCGCTACCTGGAAGAGTTTTTTTATGTGGAGTTGGGAAGTCCATTACAATGTCTGGGCCAGTAGTCTAGACTCTAGATTAGCTCATGTTGTGATTTATGAAGGCTGCTTTAGGCATCTAAGGCATGAGGCTTCTGGTGTGATTGTAATGCCTCATTACTCCTGTTCATAGTTAGTCATAGCAACCTGCTCCTGGTCTGTGTCTCCAAGAGCAGCCAAGAACAAGATGACAAATGCTTTCTGTGTTCATGAAAATAGATCCAAGAAAAATTTAGGGAAAGCACATAAGTAGCGTTCGCTGATGGGAACATTGACTCTGGCCGTCACATTTGTCAATAAGCCAGTTTTCAGGCAATATCATTAACAAGTAGATCTGGCTTAATCACTTTTGGTTGTGGAGTTGTTGGATAGGCATTTTTATCAGTAAAAATTAACAGCATTCATTAAACAATACTGTGAAATCTACAAAATCTATCAATCAGCCCAACCTAACTTCCATAAATTGGAATGTCAAACTTGGTTTTCACAATGAAGCTCTCATTGAAGACCTTACTCATCAAATTCTCTGTAGACTGGAATACAGAGGGCTGTTCTGTATGGTGAAGGATCATTTAATGACCTCAAATCAGTGTGGTTACTGTGGTCATGTTCGGCTTTAAAATGTGGTTCAGAAGCCATGAGAGCAAACCTAGAATTCATTTAATTGAACAAAGCAATGCGTGCTCTCTAGGTTCTTCCCTGCTCTTAAAGAAACAAGGTAATTATGTAGTCAGAGAGGAAAAAGACTACCCACTATGAAGCCGAATGGATGTGAGCAAAGCTGCAACAAGCAGGCTTTATGCACAGGTGTGGATTAAAAGCTCTGAATGGAATATGATGTAATATTGTTCCTTTTTTTCTCAGAACTTATGAGTATAAAGGACTGGAAGCTGAAAGGTAAAACATAGTTTTTCGTGTGGCACAGTCCATAAAATATTTTGGCCAACTGCACGGTAAGGAGTTTTTCTCCCCCACATCTGGTGACAGACAGTTTTATTTGGTTTTATGG